TAAAAAAAAAAAAAAAAAAAAAAAAAAAAAAAGGACAGGAAGTTATGAAATATAGAACCCCTAACAAGAAACACAGACCACTCGCAACCAACGTGTCAGTGTCCTAGTTTTTTTAGACATTAACATGTCTTTTCGTGTCCGTATCTATACTTCTTATGATGATATAGTTTAAGGTTTCATCAACATGTAACTTGTAAGTATGGTTCAGAAAGGAAATGCATGATCTAACAAACAACATTAAAAGCTGAAGCATTTAAATTAGATAGGAATTGAAGCAAGACATTGTGCAACTATGTGTGATGTCACCGATGAATTTATAGCTGGCAGAATACCAAGTTGCATGCCTAAGAAAGAACAAACCTCTAAACATTGTTCTACAAGCTGCCGACTCCTTGCATATTCACCACTTCTGTAATATCCAACAGCCAGCAAATAAAGTTTCTCCCTCCGGTCCAAAGGGGTTCTAGCATTGATTAAGGAAGCTGCAAAATGACATGCTAATCCAAGTTTAAAAACTGAACCATGAAAATAATAAGCTTTGAGAAAAATGGCTAATCTTAAATAACTACAAACTGAAGTTTGAGAATGTGAATATATATATATCAAGCAAGAAGAAAAGGTTTCAACTGGAAGTAGCTTCTCCCATTTTAAGGTCAAAGCTCATTTCTAGTTGAATTCCAAGACAAGTTGATTATAGAGTTTGAGTTCTCGTTTCCAAGTTCACACATACCGCATATGAAAATATTTTCGATGACACAAATTTGGAAGTCAAACTATATTTAGAATAATAAAAAACGAAACTATTTTTCTGGATGACAGAAGCAATTCATATAATCGAGAACACAAACTGGCCTTTCAGGTCATAGCAGATAGCAGCAAGAATTAAACACCCATGTTCATTGTTAATAGCCTACAAAACGTCACTCATAAATGTCAGTCATCAATGACAAGATTGTGATAGTAATGGTATTAGGGATATACTAGTAATTAGTTAGGGAAGTTGTTATGGATGTTGGTCATAAATAAAGGGAGTTGTTTAGATGGTCTTAGGATTGAATTAGTATGCTCAAGGGAAGGGATGAGCTTTTAACCAAGAAATTGACAACAAAACGAATATGGGAGACAGAGTTCAATACTGTTCTGTTTCCAGAAAACCCATAGAAATTCTTTGCAGAAGATTTACCTTCAAGCATTGCAATGCCACGATTAATATCCTCCGACTGCCTTGAATGAACAAGTGCCCATGATAACCTCATGATGCTTTCATTCTTGCGTTCTTCAGAGGCACCTTCATTGGCCTCTGCAACTTCTCTTTCACACCCCTGCATTTCAATATGCAATCTAAATCAAATACAATGTTGCAATCTGCAATCTCACCATGGTTTCAAATTACTTCTACCGCGTAAACCTGGATCGATTATACACCAATTTTTGTATGGAGACATTCAATCTCTTCTTTTACAGGGTTTAAGTACTTCTACCGCATATCCTTTTTCAGGGATGCATCTAAGCACGCCAAAATTAATCGACAAATGTGAGAATCGAATGCTTATGCTTCACCCAATCCGCCAAATTTGAGGTAAGACATCATTTAACCTAGCCAAGTTCTTCTCCATTTCTTTCTTTCGGTTTCTCAGAGACCAACCAGAAATTGTAATGATAAAGCGAGAATCTGAGAGAATAAAAGAAAACTCACCGCAATAACGTCACGATCACACCAAGGGATCTGGTCGCCACCGCCGAAGAACGAAGTAACGGACTCAAACAATTTGCCGATTTTTGCTTCCATTAAATCCGATGATTCCGTGAATATCAGAAAAATCAAAATTTCCAATTTATACAATAAAATCTCCACCGAATCTTAATGACAAAGAAACGAAACAGATGATTAAAGACGAAGAAATTGGATTTTGGACGTTTCGAGAAGCAAGATATTTATAATGGGTTCAAAAAGACCGGGTAATCCGAAAAATTGGATGAACCGAACTCAATGAACAAAATAAATGAAATTTTTATGAATTCGTTTAAATTAAATTAATTAAAAAACAAATTCTTGCAATACATACATTTATTGTAATTTTAATTAAATTTATAATTTTTTCCTAATATATTGATCTCAATATCTAGTCGTCTATAATCTCTTATAAAATATTATTTATTTTCAATTAATAAATTAAGAATAATTAAATATTTCGTAATAATTATATCAAATTATTTATTAAAATTACAAAATGAATCATATTTAATAAAATATTACGAGGGTAACAAATCCAATAGAATCCATGTTGGTTTGTGAGGATAGAAGTTTTCGCTCTTATAAGTACTAAACAGGTAATATGATCGTGTCATATTAGATGTAGGGGAATGTCGGGACCATTAAATATCGAATATGGATTCTAAATCCGAGCATGAAGGGTTACACGTGATATTAACAGTAAAACGTCTACTAGTAGCAGGATGTGGTTCACGGATGAACTAAGGTAATAGTTGGTGGGTATGTAGTGCCAAAGTAGAAGAGTGGTAGGTGAACGAACGAAGGTGAATGAACGGAGATTATATCCGAAATAAGATATTTTTAGTGGGGTTAAAAAAGAATCAAAATATTAATTTTTGGGGGTTAATAAAAGTGGGTTTTGACTTAAAAATTAAACTAAAAATGTAATTTAACTTTAAAAAAAAAACACAGTATAAAATAGAAAAAAGAGAAGAAAAGGATCCAAACACGTTGGAGCGATTTTGGACTCTTGAAAACGGCATTTCGCAGTTGAGCCGCCACGGTGAATTACGATACGGTAGCCGGTAGCCGGTAGCCGGAGGAGAGTTTTCGATCGGAATCAATGGAGATCCTTCCTATTTCAGTTGATTCTTATAATTTAGGATTCATCGGAGCTGGAAAAATGGCCGAGAGTATAGCGAAGGGGATTGTTCAATCTGGCCTCTTACCTGCTTCTCGAATCTCCACGGCTGTTCACTCTAACCCTAGTCGCGGCATTGCTTTCGGATCCTTCGGTGTTCGAGTCCTCCCGAAGAACGACAACGTAAGATTATGACTCATCTTTCTAGTCGAGTCCTCTGTTTTGCAGTCTACGTGTTATTACATAACCATAATCTTCCTTTGCTTTTTTTTTTCCTTCTTTTTTGATTGCTTGTGACCAGGTGGTTGAAGAAAGTGATGTGATCATCTTCTCTGTTAAACCTCAAGTCGGTACGGCTGTCGTTCATCTCATTTATTGCGATCCTGCTTTCCTCGTTTCTTTATTCATTCGTTTTTCGTGGTATTCTCATTATCTTCTTGAAAAATGCTTACAAAATCAGTAGAGGAATGTCGCTAGACGTTGTGATAGAAGCTCTGGTGATTTGTATGTCGAAATGATTGATTGTATTGCTTTCATTTGTGATTTGTTGGGGTTGTAATGAATTGTCTTTGAGACTCTTGCTCAAAAAGCATGTTTTCTCCATCAATTTTATGTTGAAGTGCTTTATATCCTACTTGCGAGCTGTAAAGCATCTAATGGCTTATATTGGTTGCAGTTAAGAATGTGGTGTTGAAGCTGAGGCCTCAACTCTCAACGAAGAAGCTTTTGGTTTCGGTTGCTGCTGGAGTAAAGCTACAGGATCTGCAGGTTCTTGACTTTACTGACTTGTTTTTTGGACTTCGTGAGGTTTTTTAAGTTGAGGGTTATGTGCTAAAACACCACCCCCGGAATTTTTGAAGTGTTTCATTAGATAATAAAAAATGGTTTTGAAAATTCTAGAAGTACATAAAGGCTCCTAAAGTGATTTTAGGAGAAACACTTGATCAGTGCCTCTTTCAAGAGTGTTTATTACAGCGGACTCTACGACTAAAAAAGTTGTTCACTTCTTAAAATATCTCATATACGTAGGTGGGAACGGGAGAAGGGGTCAAAGTTATCCCGATGGGAGTAAGAGTAATAATAATGTTTATAATGCTACAACGCAGGTATATTTAAAATCATGTTTTTTCAAAAATCATCCAAAAATGTTTTTCCATAAGTGCTTATGGAAGAATGTTCTACTCTAAAAATTTATCCCAACCTCACTATATTTTTATGATCTCATCTATTTGCTACAAAGTTTCACATTAATCACATACTTTTACCTTTTATTTTTCATTTTCTGCGTACAAATTTCCCTTGGAGTAATGCTCTATACATTTAGGAATGGGCAGGTCATAACCGATTCATTAGAGTTATGCCAAATACCCCAGCGGCTGTTGGTGAGGCTGCATCAGGTATTGTCTTTTCCTATTATGTTTAAATTTAATATCATTTCCCGCACACATACCTGTTTCCAGAAGATGTTACTTTGTAAAGTGGATATAATTGATTTACCGGTCTTTGATTATATTATAATGTATGATCTAGCAGTCAAAATCGCAAATGGAAGTGAGGGATGCAATTAATTGGCCAATCAGGGTGCGTGTATTGTACCACTACGAGTTTTATAGGAAGAAAGATATAGGCATCTTGGAACTTTTTATAAAAAAATAATGAAAATAATTTGAGGATGAAGGTTTTTTTTCTCTCCTTTATCTAGACCATGTATCTTCATGAGTATTGAGGCTTCTGTTGATATACTAGCATGTTTGTGCAGAATTCTGTTCAACTTTCTGATTGATAATTTGGTTTACTTACTTAGAAGCTTCGTCCAACAAGCCAAATCAAACTTGCAAAATATATTAACCAGCTTCAGTACTACTTTATTACACGATGTCGATGATAGATATCATGATTTTCAATTAGTCTTTGACCTAGGTGCATAGCATGGAAAAGAACAAAAAGTACATTAATATTTTACCCTGCAATTTTCACCATTTTGTTTCTTATATACGGACCAATGATAAGATATGTACTCTGCTTCTGTTTGACTAGTTATGAGCCTTGGAGAAGGTGCGTTAAAGGAGGATGGACAACTAATAGCTAAATTATTTGGATCTGTGGGTAAGATATGGGAGGCTGATGAGAAATTATTTGATGCAATCACTGGTCTGAGGTATGTAGTATGTTGTAAAAGCTGAATCCCACAGTTTTTCAAATTAGCGGAGCACAAAACTCTCGTCTTTCTATTGCCACCTCCTAATCATTTTGAAGCCTACTTTTGTTGGGGATACAATTAAGATAAATGTTAGGATGTTATTAGAATATTATTTTAATATTACTGCTACCGAACATATTAGTTATTAGTTAGGAGGTTTGTCATAGGACTGTTCATTAATGAATTGGGTTGGAGGGTTTAGAGAAAAGCATATTTTTTATATAGTCTTGGGAGAGAACTAAGCCTTTCAGACGATTGGTATCCTTTTGCAGTTTCTTTCAAGCATATTTCAATTAACTTTCCTTCCAAATTTTGGTACCATCGGCATTCTCCAGCTAATGGATACTATTTGATGTACATGGAAACATGCAGTGGTAGTGGACCAGCATATATTTTCCTAGCAATTGAAGCTTTGGCTGATGGAGGAGTCGCTGCAGGTCTACCACGAGAACTTGCCATGGGTCTAGCTTCACAAACTGTGAGTCAAATTCATCTGATGACCTATGTCTAAAGTAATTAATGTTGTGTAGCGTAGTCACACATAATTAAAAGTAAGATATGCACAAATAGACCATTTCAGTGAATAAAGAAAGAGCATAGACTCCTTTTGTTTAAAAATGAAAAGAAAAGAAGCATGGTTATTTGTTTGGACATTCCTTATTGTTTGCGCCAAGAATGGATATACAGCTGCCATATATTAGCATTTTATCTTCCAATGTGATTTATAATTTGAAAAACGATGAAACTTGAAATAAAGAAAAGATCGAACTTGCCTTCTGATGTCAATGTCAAAAGGTTAAGAAGTAAACGGTCTGAAAAGAAAATTAAATTTCCAATGGAAGATGCTCTACAATATATATAGTTAAATAACTGAATAAGCCGACGCTTCTTGCATATTTGAACCTTGTATTATCTATTAGATGTGATGTAGAACCTGAGGATGATACAAATTATCACATTGTGCAAGGATTGTTGTTAAAATTTGTAGACCTTTCTCCTCTCTGAAAATCATAACCTATTTGTCTCCCATCTGATTTTCCTATACAATGAACTCTAAAGTGATATGTGCCAGATGATAGTCTCAAACTGTTACCCGCTCACTGTAAAGCCTGATTCACATAGCTACTACTGGCACGGATTAATTTTATAGAAACATTTCATATTTTAATATTAGTTTAAAACAAAGCAACCATAATTTACATATATGTACAATAAAATCTAGTTTCAAACCCTTAACACAAGAAGTAGATACAACCAAGATAGACTCAGATCTAGGTAGGAGTCTATAGCTCGTCCACACCTCGTCTCTGTCACATTGCATTTCGTCTATCTGAAGAAAAAAAAAACATTTCTGGCTTTCTAGTGAATCATACTTTCCAGTGAACGTGCATTACACAAACATTTCTCAAGTTGGTTCAGTCATGGACTCATGGTCTTCCAATGTCTAGTTAGGTTTTCTTAGGCCTTAACTCCTCTAGCGCCATATGACTTGTTACCTAGTGAAACATGCTAAGCATAGTTATGTGCTTTTGGAAAAAAATCAATTCAAATCTCTCTACTTCAAATTTACCAACTGGAATTAAATGATTCAGAATTTGTTTACAGGTGTTAGGTGCAGCCTCCATGGTCAGTAAAACTGGGAAGCACCCAGGGCAGCTTAAAGATGATGTTACATCACCCGGTGGAACCACCATTGCTGGTATCCATGAACTAGAGAAGGGAGGACTTCGTGGCATGTTTATGAACGCTGTGGTCGCTGCTGCTAAGCGTGGCCAAGAACTTGGCCCAAAGTAGTTGCAAGATTTAACTTCCAAGTAAAGGTTAGTAGTAATTTATTTGCTTTCAAGTCTTGAAGAGATGAGGAAATAAGCTATAACTATAACAAGTAGAGTCTTGGAAGCTTTAGAATTAATGTTGATAGTTGGGGCAATTTTTAGTTATCTTCTACACGTTTTCCTTAACAATATAGATAAAGAACCTGATCTCCCACTCTTTTAGGTTAATTTTTTTGGCAAAGATTCTCTCTCTTCTTGAAAATATTTGAATCTGTGCTGGGACTGATTCTACTCTTATCTCTTATTATCACCAACTCCAGAAAAGGAATAAAAAAAAAAAAAAAAAGAAGCATTGGTTTGCCTATATTTACTCCATATATGGTTTGTGGATATGTTTTCATCATTTCAGGCAATGATTTGTATTGAATAAATCTTGAGTTGTTCGGGTAATTGAGTGCATTATTAGATGAACACGACTCTCGACAATAGTATGATATTCCACTTTGAGCATAAACTCTCTTGACTATGATCATTTCCTAAATTAACTGAGGTGGGATTTTCATCCCAAAATCAATCCATTATTAAGAAAGATTTGAATTACTGTGTATAAAAAAAAGGATTAGTATTTTATTGCTTCATTAAGAAAAAAAATAAATAAATAAGAGTAGTATTTATGGGGGTCTAGAGATGACGTCGTTTATCATCCTTACAGGCAACCTCTTCGGATGCCGTTCACGTTTTCGCCCAAGAAAATATTGCCTTCGACTTTAACCGACAAAAAAAAAATATTATTAAATTATAATCTTCATTTTAAAAATTAGAATTTCTATCTCAAACTCTCATGGATATTAAGCAAATTAATTTTTAGCTTTTCAACTTAACCGAATCGAAAAAAATATATACATAATTAACCAAATTCTTATAAACGAGCATCTTTGGCTTCCATTAATGCTATTGAGAGGGGGATTGATTTGACCCATGGTAGACAGATACGGTTTGAATTGAGTACAGAGATACAATGAGAATGATCCGGGTGTGAATCGGGTATTCATCAATTAGGCCTCCAAGTCCTCTTCTTCCCCAATTTACTTCTTCAGGATGGTTTCCAATTCAAAACTTTTAGGTTTCTTCTCTCAATGATTCCTATGGATACCAAGAACGGAACTTTTTTTGTGCTATTATGAAGATGAAAGCATCAGTGATTACCCATTTCCCTTTATCCTCATGAAAGAAGAAAAAAGACAGTAGATGGTTTTTGGATTGAGATGTTTAACTGCATTCTTCTCGAGAGAAGGTCTCACATGCAGAGTTCAAACAAGTAGAGTACCTTTATGTCACTTAAGGGAATAAGATTAGCCCTTTAACAGAATTGGTTGGTTGAGTAGTTCTATATAAACCCTACCAATTATATGAACTAACTTTGAATTTATTAGACGGAACCCTTATTATTATTATTATTATTATTATTATTAAAAAAAAAAATAGGTTTTAAACATATTCCCAATTTGCAATACAACAAAAATATATAAAAAAACATTTAAAAAGTGGCATTAAAGGAATGAATGATTTACCAAATTTTGTGGCTTGCATTAAAATCACGTAAATAAACTATTTTAATATAAAACCTGACGCATAGCTTCCTTTCTTCTCAACTAGCAATCGGAAATTCCTTTAAATCCAAAGTTCCAGATTCAGAGACGATTCACCCAAATTTTCCCAAATTTTCCCAAATTGGGGGGGGCGCCATCTTCTTGCCTGCCCCATCGAATCTTCTTCAATCCTCGCCATTATTATCATTATCGTTATCTTCTTCACGTTTCCCAATAACCACTTTCTTTTTGGGCCCTCACTTCCGCGTTTTTCTTTCTTCATTCTTTGCCTTCTTCTCCACATTCACTGCATTCTCTCTGTTTTGCTGATCGTATATATTCTGTTACCTCTTTTCTGATTTGGGGATTTAGTTTCTAGATTTTCGAAGATTGCGACAGATTGGTGGGTGAATTTCGTATTAGGGAGGTTGATTGATCGATATATTTGTCGTTGCTTGTCGTTTAAGCAACTCAAATTTTCGGTTCTTATGGGATTTCCTTTGGATTTGAGGATCCATTGTTGTTGTACAAGTTCAGATTGAGGAATTCTTTGCCATATTCAGGTTTATTACTGCCGTTTACATTGTTCTTCTTCTAGTAATTTATTTTGAAGAGCTGAAGGATTGAGTGTGCTGTTGAATTTGGTGCAACTTTGCATGCCTTCTTAATTTATTTGGGGATCGATTCTTGTTTCCATTGATCATAGCCATTGTATTGAAGTTCGTAGAATCCTGATTTTCCTGTCCTGTTACACAATCCATTCTTTCATGTTTAGATCTGTTAGTCTTACATCCACAGAGAACTGAGTGTGGATTCTATTAGCCTGTGACAGATTGCTTGAGTTCCTTTTTAGAGTTATGGAAATTAGTAATGAGGCCAAGGTTGGTTCCTTTTCTATTGGTCCTTCAACCATTGTAGGTAGAACAATTGCTTTCAGAATCCTGTTTTGCAAATCGGTGTCGCAATTTAAGCATCAACTATTTCGTGTTTTACTGAATATTATCTATGGATTTAAGGCCATCTTAGCACCCATATTATCATGGATGCATCCTAGAAATCCACAGGGGATATTGGCGATGGTTACCGTTATTGCTTTTTTGTTGAAACGGTACACGAATGTGAAAGGGAGGGCCGAATTGGCGTACCGAAGGAAGTTTTGGAGAAACATGATGAGAACTGCATTGACCTATGAGGAATGGGCTCATGCTGCTAAAATGCTTGATAAAGAAACTCCAAAGTTGAATGAGTCAAATCTCTATGATGAAGAATTGGTGAGGAACAAGCTTCAAGAGCTTCGCCATCGTCGCCAGGAGGGATCTCTTAGAGATATAATGTTTTGGATGAGAGCTGATCTTTTCCGAAATCTTGGCAATATGTGCAACCCTGAACTACACAAGGGTAGGCTTCAAATTCCGATACTCATAAAGGAGTACATAAATGAGGTATCGACTCAATTGAGACTGGTTTGTGACTCGGATTCTGAAGAATTGTTATTGGAAGAGAAACTCTCGTTCATGCACGAAACGAGGCATGCGTTTGGAAGGACTGCCCTACTCTTAAGTGGAGGTGCTTCACTTGGAGCTTTTCATGCAGGAGTGGTTAAAACTCTGGTAGAGCATAAACTTTTGCCTAGAATAATAGCTGGATCTAGTGTAGGATCCATCATATGTGCTGTTGTTGCCACTCGGTCCTGGCCTGAGCTACAAAGCTTTTTCGATGACTCTTGGCATTCATTTCAGTTTTTCGATCAGATGGGCGGTATTTTTACTGTGGTAAGGAGGGTAATGATACAAGGGGCTGTTCACGAGATTCGACAATTACAAATGATGTTAAGGCAGCTCACTTCTAACCTAACTTTTCAGGAAGCTTATGACATGACAGGTAGAATTCTTGGGATAACAGTTTGTTCCCCAAGGAAGCACGAGCCGCCTAGATGTCTTAACTACTTAACGTCTCCTCATGTTGTGATATGGAGTGCTGTGACAGCATCTTGTGCATTCCCTGGCCTTTTTGAGGCACAGGAATTAATGGCCAAGAACAGAAGCGGTGAGATTGTTCCCTATCATCCACCTTTTAATTTGGATCCTGAAGAGGGCTCAGGCGCATCTGTACGTCGATGGAGAGATGGCAGCTTGGAGATCGATCTGCCAATGATTCAATTGAAAGAATTGTTCAATGTAAACCATTTCATTGTCAGTCAGGCAAATCCCCATATCGCACCACTATTGCGAATGAAAGAATTCTTCAGAGCTTTTGGGGGAAACTTTGCTGGCAAGGTATGACAACGCTCAGAATCTTATTTTGTATGTGCTCTGACTAGTTTTCTTCTTTATCCCTGTTTTCCTGCACTGTTGTCAAAATATATGAATCTAAGTGTTCAATATATATCAAAATACATTTCGTACCACGACCTTACTTGAACAGGATGTGTTTTTATAGGTTAAATAGAACTTGAGTTTTGATAATAGATTTGCTACTTGGTTTGTTTTTTCATGGACTGCTGTGGACATTTTCAATTATTCAATCTGTTTATAAAACTTCTGTCTCTGTCCCTCTCTGTTCATCAGTTCTATGAATCGATAAGTTATTTTTGATCTAGCATTATGTTTTATGCGTTATCTGTTTATTCTATCATAATGTTTCTGGTTATGTAGCTTGCTCATCTTGCTGAAATGGAGGTAAAACATAGATGCGACCAATTTTTGGAACTTGGTTTTCCATTGGGCGGAATTGCGAAGCTTTTTGCTCAAGATTGGGAAGGAGATGTCACGGTCGTCATGCCAGCTACTCTTGCTCAGGTATTTTCATGTTAGAAGATGCTACAAACTCATTTTAGAACAACAAATGTGTCATTGCTGAAGAACTTCCTTTTGTTGCAGTACTCTAAAATTATACAAAATCCTACGCATTTGGATCTTCAAAAGTCGGCCAACCAAGGTAGGAGGTGCACCTGGGAGAAGCTATCAGCAATAAAAGCCAACTGTGGCATTGAGCTTGCTCTAGATGAATGTGTTACAATTCTCAACCATATGCGGAGGTTGAAAAGGAGCGCTGAGAGGGCCGCTGCTGCCGCTGCTGCAGCCTCACATGTTTCTCCAGCCCCTGTCAAGTTCAGCGCTTCAAGAAGAATTCCCTCCTGGAACTGCATTGCACGAGAAAACTCGTCTGGTTCGCTCGAAGAAGAATGTCTTGCTGATGTTTCTTTGACTTGCCATCAAGGTCCTAGTGGATCGATCGGTTCAGGATCCACTGGAAGAATGTTGCGAACTCACCGTACTATGTTTGATGGTAGTGATAGCGAATCAGAAAATATTGATTTGAATACTTGGACTAGATCTGGTGGGCCATTGATGAGGACATCATCAGCAAATAAGTTCATAGACTTTGTCCAGAATTTGGATCTTGATGACCTCAATAGAGGTTTGGTAGCAAATTCCAATGGGGTTCAGCCATTTGGTGGCAGTCAAAATTCCCAAAGTCCTCGAACCACGTCTGACCGGAGTTCCGAGTGCCCAGATTTTGACATGCGAGAGCTCGGCCATCGAGTTTCTTCAAGCATTCTTGTAACTGAAGGAGACTTTTTGCAGCCCGAAAGAATACTTAACGGGATCGTGCTTAACGTCGTAAAGAAGGAAGATTTGACATTGACAAGTCGGACCCATGATTCAGAAACTCAAAACAGTGAAGTTGAATGCCTGCAAATCGACTGTTCGGAGAAGTATATTGATGCTAGCTCGGCATCTGAAGAAGATGCTACACCAAAGAGCTGCTTGCAGGAACAACCTCCCAAGAACAATCCGGTGAATCATTCCGAGGAATAACACAATGGCCAAGATCATCAACTATTTATTGATTCTTAATTTTGTCGAACTCCATTCTTGTCTTCAAGTACGTCTTCTTTACTTCCTCCAATGAATTTAAATGCCAGATGATATCTCATTCAATGTAGGAGTAGGAAATGGGAAGAACAAGCATCTTCGCAAGGTGAGGACTCCATAGCTTGAGTTCTGCTAATCACACTTGAAATGCAGCAGTTTAGATGATTTTGTTAGTGGAACTGTGTATATATCTGTATCAAAATTTTGTTTATTACTGCTGCTTTTCTATCTCCATTCCCATTATCTATTTCAATCTCGGTTTCTACAAAAAAATCATTTATTGTCTAGGAGAGTGGGATAGAGTAGGGTGGGACGAGTGAATATAATCATTGTCCCCAACTCTATTGAGTCAAAGAAGAGAAAACTCTTCTTGTTCCTTCTTTATTCTCGGCAAGTTAAATGAACATCTCTAATATGAATTATGCACCATTTTTACCGCTAGAAATTTGCAACTACATGGATGATATTTGCAATCATTCGAAGTAAAAGTAAGCTAAAATATTCAAAATCTTCCAAACAACGTAGTAAGTTGAGAGTTTGAGTTAATGTTTATGATTATGAGACTATTAGAGAGTTGTCAACTCGTCTCTAATAGTAGATTATCTCAATTAACATAGTATGTATATGAGTTGTGAGTTCGAATCATGAAGAGCTCGTGCCTCGTAGAATTATATGTACGATTTGAAACGATTGCAGGATAGTAAAGTAAAGAGCTAAATTATCCAAAAAGCTCGAATAACCTTAACGGCATTGGGGTAAGCTCAAAAGAGCTAAATGATAAGAACCCATGAATGAAATAAGCTTAGAAGAATTAGATCACGAGGAATGATGAACTTTGAGGAGGTGGTTTATAAGAACCATGCGACGGGCTCGATTGAACTAATAGAACCTAGTTGCTAGCTTTAGAAAACCTATGACTTCGACTATTATTTGATCTAGATTTGAATAACCTTCCACTCAAAACCATGGTTGGGAGCTGAAACTGTCCTTCCACTCTATCCCTTTCTACTCATAATCTAATCTTATTTCGGTACATAACCTAACCTTAACGTTTCATGAACATATCTTACTTCTATCGTTACATCACGTTTTGTACATTATTCTCGTATTCTATCTCAAATATCATTGAACAAATGGTCTTTACACGAGTTCAATCATACCGTAGGTACTATCATACAAGTCAAGCATGCTTGGCTTCTACTACATTGATATTGGCACTCTTTTAACAACCTACTTAAGATCATTGATACCCCAAAAGAAAAGGGCGAAGGTTATGGGCTTAGATGAATGATTTGTTGGGCCATGCAATTTTCCTTGTTTCTCCATAGCTTTTGATGGCCTACATGTCTGTAAATTGGAAAGTTGGATATGGATATTTCTATAATATCAAATAAATATCAATAAAAAAACCAATAGTTATAAATAAAGGGAAATTAATAAAAAAGAAATACCAAAGATGTATGGTAAATAAAGGGAAGTAGTTGAAAAAAATAGATGTCCCAAAAAAAGAACAGTGAAAAGAACAGAGGGGACAGAGGCAAAGAGAGGACAGTCAGTACACTGATATGACACGACAGCCCCACGCTTGTCCCTTCCCACTCAACCAAACCAAATATATATATACCTTTCATTTTGTTTTCATTTTATTTGGAAATTAATTAAATACGAGCATCCCCAACTTTTTCGGACTGATAAGTATTAAAGAGAACTCAAGCTCAATTTCTTTCGTCAACCGAACATAACTGTGATATCCTACATTGGTTGGGAAGAAAAACGGAACACTCTTTAAAATGTTATGAAAACCTATACGTTATAAAATCTTGAAAGAAAGTCCAAAGAAGACAAGATCTGCTAAACTTGTTAATTTCTTGAACTCTAGCCGTCTTACCTCTACTCTAAACAAAGTCATGATGATCGAACTTACCTTTACATAAGGTTAATATCTTTCAAATGCAACGTTGCATCTCATCTCGCCATCGTGATTCTCAACAACACGATTGATGCTTTATGATGTCATCTCAAGTCACGGGATGCCATTAGCCTTCTCTATTCACTCAAATATGTTTATCGAGAATCGACCCATGAGTCCACTTTTTCATTGGAACATCTCAGACACTCAATCATCCAATTACTATCGAAGCATGAACCCTCACGTGAGTCATTTATGATATCGTACCACAGTAAATTTGATTTAAGGAAAATAGTCTGTTTAGTAGAAGATGAGCTAGTGTGAGAACATGTCCAAAAGTGATGGAATGTGAACAGAAACATACATAGTGTATATGGTTTTAGTGTTTTGAAGGACTTTGATTTTGAATGGTACATTGGAAAGATTGCACAATAACAAATGTTTCCTTCTCTAGCTTGCCTTTGCTGTCTCACTCTTTCATCTCTCTTCTTTGTAGGAGATATGATAAGACTTTTAGCCAACTTAAAAGTGTATGTTTTTTTGGTAGGGTTCATATTTGCCTAAGCCTAATAGCAGACGATTAGACACGTGAAACATTTCTTATAAGGTGTGAAAATCTCTTTTTAGTAGATGCATTTTAAAACTTTGATAGGAAGCCTGAAAGGGAAGCTCGAAGAGGACAATATCTGTTAGGGTAGACTGAAGCCATTACAAATGGTAAGTCGGACACCGAGCGGTGTGCCAGCGAGAATGCTGGGCTTTTAAGAGTATGGATTGTGAGATCACACGTCTGTTTGAGAGGGGAACAAAACATTACCTATAAGGGTGTGGAAACCTCTTTAGTAGACGTGTTTTAAAACCTTGAAACCCAAAAGTGAATGCCCAAAAAAGACATCATCTTCTAGCGGTAGGCTTGGACTATTACAAATGATATCAGAGCTATACACTGGCCGGTACGCCATCGAGGATGCTAGGCTCCCAAGAGGTTAGAATGTGAGATCACACATTTGTTAGAGAGGGTAATGAAGCATTTCTTATAAGAGTGTAGAAGTCTCTCTCTAATATACGTGTTTTAAAGCCTTGAGATGAAGCCCGAAGAGAAAAACCAAAAAGGACAATATATGTTATCGGTAAGCTTAGACTGTTATACAAGAACGTTAGAACGTTTTGATAGTCTGTTGTTACAGCAAAAACGTTTTGATGTTTGTTTGTTGAAAAGGAGGATAACCATTTAGTTTTAATTTAGAACACAATCAAACCATGTCAAATAAACTTATACCCATGCATGTACATACCCACAATACATTACAAAGACAAAGACAAGACATACGTTGGACATCTCAAAGAAGCAGAGTTGTTGGTTTGGACATAAAATACAAAATGGGTCAGTGCCTAACTTCAGTTCCAAACAGTAAATAAATAAAAGAGAGGTTGAAAAGGCAAAAGGAATGAGAGAGACGTTGAAAGAAAGACAAGACATGTGAGTGTTCCTTTAACTTTCTCTTCATATTTTGAACCTCCCCCCACTCCTTTCTCTAACCCTTATCTTCTTCCATGTCGTATTATTGTCACGTGCATACTCTCAGTTTGCACGTGGGAATCAGTGCCTTCTGAAACTCTCTCATACACAACCAATTAATTGTTCACTGTTTCACTGTCCATCAATAGTGCTAATCTGTTGTGTATTTGTATGATTCTTCAATTCCTTTATTTCCTCTCTCTCCCGTTAAAGGGAAGAATGAATCATTCTTTATAATGTTGTGTAAACCTCTCTTGAGCACATGCATTTTAAAATCTTTGAGGGGAAGCTCGAAATGCTGTTAACAGTGGGGTTGACATGTTACAAATGGTATCAGAGCCAGACGGGTGGATACTGAGCGGTGTGCTAGCGAGGACGCTGGGCCACGAGAAGGGGTGGACTGTGAGATCCCACATCAATTGGATAGAGGAACGAGTATCATTAAGGACGTTGGGCCTCAAGGTGGGTGGACTGTGAGATCTCATATTGGTTGGGGAGAAGAACGAAACATTGTTTATTAGATGTGTTTTAAAAACATTGAGGGGAGTACAATATCTGTTAACAGAAAACTTTGACTGATTAAAACCCGAAAGAGAGTTTAAAAATGACAATATCTATTCGTAGTGGACTTGGATCGAATAGTATGAATATAAAGAAGAAAGAAAGGTAGGGTTTGAAAGTTGAAGAGCACTATCTGTGATGATCTGTTTATGGTGTAAGGGTTTTGGTAGGTCAATTCAAACACTCACCATTTACCTCTTCTCTTCCTTTTCTGACTGTCTTGTCATATCAACTATGAAATCATTAAACCATCACACGACTTCCCAATAACACCTCCCTACCCACTCTATAATTTCTCTCTCCCCTACCCATCTCCTATGTTGCTTTAAATCACTAACGATGATATAAAACAAGTTAAAATGGACGTAGTGGGCTTGGACTGTTACGAATGATATCAGAGTCAGACACTGGACAGTGTGCCAACAAGAACATTGGCCCTCCAAGGACGGTGGATTGTAAGATCTCACATTGGTTGGAGAGAAGAACAAAGCATTTTTTATAAGAGTTCGGAAATCTCTCCCTAACATATGCGTTTTAAAACCCTGAGGTTGATGATTACACGTAATTGGCCAAAGCAGACAACATCTGTTAGCGATGAGCTTGACCTATTACACCTTTAATTTAACTATCCCAATATTAATCTAAGCATAGTTTAATGATTGATCTGTATGTTCTTAACTCTCATATTAGTGGTTTGAACCTTCCACGATGCATATTAAAGCTATTGTATAAATATTATAAGAGACTCGAGAGATGATACAGTTGGGTTGAGTTGGAGGCGTCAACATACTTGAATTATGAACAACGGTTGGATTGAATTGTTCAATAGAGAATCAATATTACATAAAGTATACAATGTAATTACAGAATGTAATAGACTTTCAACTCAAATGTAATTATGAACAACTCGTTAAGGACCGACTTACATGTAATGATTATACTCACGACCATAACTTGTTTACCGTGTATGAGAGTGCAACTCTAAGTCTATAATAAAGTAACCTTGACTGATTAATTTTAAAACGATGGAACTTATAATCTACCGGTTTATAAAGTTTCCTTCCAATAACAAGAGTGCACTAGGCGAGTATGTTTATACTCACCAGATTCTACTTTTCATTTTTAGATGATCGTTGAGTATTGGTCAAGGTAGAGGAGGGTTCGGAAGCTGCACGATCACAAAGGAGGGTCATCCCAAAGCACCACGGTCTATGTTTCAAAGTCTCGAAAATCGGATCATGACATATATGTTCAATCA